TGCCGACTGCCTGTGCGGTCCAGCTATTCAAACTGACAGCCGACAAGTGCGCGCACATCGATTAAACCGCTATAAAAACACATAAATATGTATGTACGCTGAGTTGTATGAGATGTGCGTGTGTGTGCTTTWGCCTTTCTAGCGCTTAATTATTTCTAATTATATTTTTTTCTCTTTTATCTACAATTTTTATGCTTTTACTACAGTCCATTAGTTAGGCCACCAAAACAGTACACATTTCCGTGCATACAAATTTACATACATACAAACATCCATACACATACAATATGTACGTACAAATATAGGTTTAATTATTTGAACATATGTATGTATGTAAGTAGTACACGCTAGCCGAGCAAGCAACGCCGGATATCATCATCAGCATTGCCGCTACTGGGTGGTCCACTCGCTACGCATACACACAAACGCATACGTAGTATGTATGCACGTGTMTGCGCGCTTTCTTTGCTTTATTGCTTCAGATAATGTTTTTGTTGTTCTCTGTTTTTGTTKTTGTTGTTGTTGTTTTTGTATTGTATTATTAGACGCGTTGTAGTGTTATTGCTTTTGGTAGTTCATATATTATTATTATTATTTCGAGTTTTTGTCTTTTACTGCAGTATTGTTATTGTTGTTTTTATTTTTGCTTATGCTTGRCTTTGATTCAATACTATTCATTCAACAGTTAACGAAATAGAAAATGAAAATKACTCGCTTGCTGTACTAAAAGCGAGTAATGCATATTATAAGCATGTGAGAGGTGAGGAGAGAGGTGGAAGCTGATTAGAGATGAGGAAAGATCAGTGATTTTATTACCCAGTACATRTGGGAATGCTGCACATCTGACCGGGCATAAAAGTAGCCACACATACATATGTACTTWTGTCTACACATATATAATATAAGTAAATGTRGATACATATGTACAYACATACATATACAAATTTAAAATTTAAAATTTGTAGGGCAATCACGTTCCTCTCACAAAAATGGATTTTCCATTAGCCTGTGTGGCATTCGTAATGGTTTTTAAATTGGCTGATCTTCGTTCTAATGACAAGTGCTTAATTTTTTCTCTCGTTTTTTGTTGTTGTGTTTTTTTCTTATTTTTTTTAGTAGCATCTTTGATTATCTGTTTTTATAGTTTCATGTTCTAAACATGAGCTTTAAAATGACTAAATTGAGTCGAGTCATGGGAAAATAAAACGTGGGGAAGCAGTAAACTAAAAGGTGCCTCATTAGTATCTGAAGCACGTGCATTCCACTATAGATGTGATATTTRCATAGATATATCTGTACATATGTACAAGTATGTGCATACATTTACATAACCTCTTAGATTGATTGAGCTATCTGTCAATCTTCGACTCACTCGTGAGCTTTTGAAAACTTATTTAAATTATTTTTCACTTAGGAGCATTGGAGATTTCAATAAAACTTTTAGGTTTTGCCACACATATTGCAAGCTATTAGAACAGAGATCCAAAACTCTAGCTGAAGCATTGCTATATTAAAATTTCGATCATCAATACCTTATTTGTATCCGTAAACAGCTTACGGCCCCGCGAGCTTCATTTTATATATTTTTCTTGGCTGGCTACCAATTAGCTTGAGGTAGGAAGGAGTTGGTGACTAAATCTGATCTCCTTCACATATCTACTTTATACGTCTTTCGTGGCTGACTAGCAGTTAGCCTAAGTAAGTATAGCGTTAGAAAATAAGACTGAAGTCCTTCACATGTCTACTTGGCTTTATAGCATTACCGATTTCGTCTACCATATTATCAAGGAATGGCTACTCCAATGTCTGCAGCCTGATGAAGTTCTGGATGTCTAAATTTCCTAAGGTCAAATATTATCTAAAACAGATCTTTTTTGGAACCAGACCATATATAAGATATAACTTGAAGTCGACCAATTTGATAGTAGTAATCTGAGAACAAAATCTTAAATATTTATCTCTTCAAACCCTCTCTCTAACACACCCATGTAACTTCGAATAATCAGAGAATTATCTATATCAAAGGTCTTCTGAGGGAAAACAGTTTCTGTAAAACAGAAAAAAAAAAAAAATAGAGCACTTGCAGTTCCAGCAATCAATCAGCATCTGAAAGAGCATTCCGGCATATCAATGCGACATACCTTTGGTTCGGCCAATCTTTTGCTTGGGGAAGTCATTAACCTCAATTCATCGCTTGGCTGTTTTTAACAGTAACAGAACGTACTAGTTCTAAGATTTAACTCAAGGKAGACCGAAATTAAATAAAATTTTTTAATTAATACCTTTCATTGCGGATGTWTTTTACATGGGGGGTCGCTAGCCCAGTCTTACTTGAGCCCGCCTTAAAAGGGATGTTTTTTGGCTACACAGAGGATACTTGGTCTAAGACCGTTAGTCGCGAACTCAGAGAACTTTCCTTACTTGCGTGAACTTCTACAMAAGGCTCCATTCATTAATGCACCTATATAGAGCTGTGATCCAGCTATTACTATGACGACGAAAATCTAATTACAKCGACGTTCCTTGCAGTTTTGGAAGCCTGTTAATTTTAGTTCTGTTTCCTCAGAAGTAAATTATCTATTAACTTGGGTCTGAGAAAATCTAACCCCAAAATTGTGCTCTCAATGCTTTCAATCTAGTGATCAATCTTCATTCTAAATCACGTGTGATTTTAAATACTAGCATGCCTTCAGAAACAAAAAAATAGAGTAAATGAGTAAAATAGATCGAAACTCAAAAGAAAAAACAATTAATTTCGCACAAAAAAATTAGAAAAAAAAAAAAAATATTAAGATGATGTAAGAGATCACCAAAAGTATGATGTATTACCGATTTCTGCTAATACATTTCTATATAAATAAGAAAGAAATGAAGACAATAAGGACTGTCTCTGCCAAAAAAAAAAAGCAGATATTTCCAATTATGCGCATTGTATTTGCTTTGAAAATAAGACGTCTAAGGTGTATGACCGATCGACCACCTAACGATCGTGTGTGTCATAGTGCGCACGAATAAAACCAAAAAATTCCTCGTATTAGGGATATAAGCACAAAGCAGCAGAGCAACAGGCTCACAGCCTACATGGCAGACATTTCTGGGTAATTGATTTGTGCGCAGAACGTGCATTGTCCTGCGTAGATATCACTATTTATATGTACGAGTGTGTGTGTTGCAGTGTTGTGCGCATGCGTTTGATGAAAGATTCGGGCGATGACACACCAATCGCACCCCCGACAGTTGCGTGCAATGCATGACAACAACAATACAACAAATATGAAAAGATRAAAGGTGTCTACTAGTTGCTATGTGCATTTGCAACGAAACGACAAACACAATTAACTCGGACAAGAGCGACGAAGCAACGACAACTTAATTCCACTGAGTACCGCCTAATCTGCGGAACGAAAGGACGATGTMCGCGCGGTGAGTTTGTGMGTGKTGTATGCTTATGTGCGCTCAATACCGAGAAATTGACGGTAAACAGAAATTGACAGGCGAAGAACAAAAGCAATTAAAACAACAACAACAATTAAAYGTTAGAAAATGCATAGAAATACACCGAAAGGGAGTAGAATTCAACGAATAGGCAGAACGCTATGGCACCAGCGTCGCTGTAGTTGCTAGAGACTTCAAAGAAATGACGTCTAAGTGGAAAATAGGCATATTAGGCATTCTTTGTAGGCGCATCCGCATGCATGTTTCGATGTTGTTTTCTAAGCGAAATGTGCCGCCAGCGGGAGCGAGTGAAATACATACATATTTCGAATTCGGAAAATTGCAACGAAATTAAGACCCCGTATGCGCGCACAGCACGTCTTCAATGTTCGTCCGTTGCAATGCAGGCGCTGTGAGGTGAGGTGTTGCGTGTGCTGCAAAGCGTAGTAAAAGATGAGAAAATTAAGTAAACGTTTTGCAGGCAAGCAGGTAATGAAATGCTGCCGAAACACCATACAAAATAGAGAAGTAATTGAAATGTATCTTATATTCTTGAGTCTGGCGTAACATGTGCTGAATAACAATTTTTTTTCATTTTGGGTTTTGATTCTAATTTTTTGTTTTTTTTTTGGTAGAAAACCTCTGCAAGGTGAGGCGGTGCCTGCAAACACCTGCGCTCTTGTACGTTTTTATAAAGAAATATGCTCTCATTTACGGTACTCCATAATTTTGAGCGATTTCAAGCGAGTTTAAGTTATTGAGTGCGAGTTCTATGTCGGTTAACCAAGACCGATTTATCACAATAGAACTAGAAAAAAAGCATTACAACAGAGTATATAAGTTCACATAATGTTTGAACATCCAAAAGAAAGCGTCGGAGGCAAAAATTATCAGCTGAGTTGATTTAGTCATAGCTCTCTGCCTGTCTGTATATATGTATATGATGAGTTTTTGAGTTTTTGAGATATCGATGATTTATGAAATCCTCWCCACGTTCTTATACCAGCAAGAAGCTGCTCATTTGTCGAAACCGCCGATATCGGACTACTCTGGCATATAGCTGYCATTTACACTGACCGGGTTTAGGCCATAAGTAGGGATTTAACATGCCTCCCCACCATATAGTGATTGGCATTCTATGTAAGCGGTTTCTGCACTAAAACGCTCCCGTCTTTTGGCATGAATTTTCCTTGCTTCGGGACTACTTTCGCATTACTTCAGAGCAAGGYCGAGATGGACCCTATACAGGTAAATTTTTACACTCGCTGGGTGCAGGGATGCCTACGATGGTTGTAGCCAGCATCAAAGTATTTGGCTCACCTTCTATTGACTTTAATTCTTCGGAGCCGGAGAGTCTGCCATGTCCATGTTCCTTTTTTAGGCCTCAAGATGTAACGAACCTTCGACCAGTAAACAAATCCACCAAACTTATGAAAGTATTGATAATTATATTGCACACGAAATTCCACCGGTTGTGACTTACGCTTTACTTATTATATTATATTTTTAAGTCAGCTCTTGCTGTTGGAATCACACTAATTCTTTAATTTTTCTTATATTTACAGGGCAAAGCGCGAGGGAACCGCACCGCTATCTACCTACGTTCAGTATTTCAATCCCATCTCGAATCACTTGGTAGTTCGGTACAAAAGCATGCGGGTAAAATGCTTTTCGTGGCCATACTAGTGTTAAGTACATTTTGTGTGGGATTGAAGAGCGCACAAATACATTCGAAAGTACATCAATTGTGGATACAAGAAGGTGGCCGTTTAGAATCCGAACTCGCCTATACGCAAAAAACGATCGGTGAAGATGAGTTCTCAACGCAYCAGCTAATCATACAGACGGCGCAAGATGCGAATGCGTCGGTGCTGCATCCGCAAGCATTGTTGGCGCATCTGGAAGTGTTRAAGAAGGCGACGGCGGTGAAGGTGCATATGTACGATACGGAATGGGGTTTACGTGATATGTGCAATTCGCCGACAACGCCAAGCTTTGAGGGCCACTACTACATCGAACAGATATTTAAGCATTTAATACCGTGTTCGATAATAACACCGCTGGATTGCTTCTGGGAGGGTAGTCAACTATTGGGACCGGAATTTCCAGTGCAAATACCGTAAGTAGCGAAGTTAACATGTCAAACTATAAGTTAGAAACTTCAAACCTCGGTTATAGTACTAATTACTACGTTATTTTTCGATATCATCCATAGTGGCATTGACAAGCGCATCATGTGGAGCACGATGAATCCGTCGAATCTCGTGCAGACAATGAAACAACAAATGAGTGATCAGAAAATACCATTCGACTTTGATATGGTGGAGCAGTATATGAAGCGTGCCGGCATTACGACTGGTTATACGGAGAAACCGTGTCTGGATCCCAAGAGTGCTGAATGTCCGGAAACGGCACCGAATAAGGATAGTCAGCAACCACCCGATGTCGGTGCTATACTCACCGGTGGCTGTTACGGCTACGCCACCAAGTATATGCATTGGCCGGAAGAGCTCATTGTCGGTGGTGTACAACGCAATCGTTCCAGTCATTTGCGCAAGGCGAAAGGTCTACAAACGGTGGTGCAACTGATGACCGAGAAAGAAATGTTTGATTTGTGGAATGAAAATTATAAAGTGCATCATATCGGTTGGACACAGGAGAAAGCAGCGGAAGTGCTGAATGCGTGGCAACGTAATTTTTCCAAAGAGGTTGAGACGCTATTGAAAAGCAATCGACGTATATCGAATAAGTATGATATTTATGTGTTTTCATCGGCCACATTGGATGATATACTGGCCAAGTATTCCAATCCCAGTCCGATTAGTATTGTAATTGGCGTAATTGCGACGGTAATCTATGCTTTTTGTACGCTTATACGTTGGAAGGATCCGGTTAAGGGACAGAGTAGTGTTGGTGTAGCGGGCGTGCTGCTGATCGGTTTCTCGACCGCTGCTGGTTTGGGTCTTTGCGCGCTACTTGGTATCGTTTTCAACGCGGCGAGTACGCAAGTTGTACCCTTTCTTGCGCTCGGCTTTGGTGTTGATCACATTTTTATGCTCACCGCCGCTTAYGCGGAGAGTAAYCGTAAAGAGCAGACGAAATACATATTGAAGAAAGTCGGACCGAGCATACTCTTCAGCGCTAGCGTGACATCGGGYTCATTCTTTGCAGCCGCTTTTATACCAGTGCCCGCCTTGAAAGTGTTCTGYCTACAAGCTGCTATTGTTATGTGCTTCAATTTAGCTGCTGCGTTACTCGTTTTCCCCGCCATGATTTCTTTGGACTTGCGTCGACGTACTGCCGGCCGTGCGGATATCTTTTGCTGTTGYTTTCCTGTGTGGAAGGAGAAACCGGTAGCGACAGCTATGTGCAACACGCGTTACAACAACACTAGTCGTCGTAATGCTTATGCTGTGAAGAATTGCAACAATCGTACCACTGCCATGTCGGCACAACAGCCACAACTCAAGCACCAAGAGGAAGCACTACTTTCCTGCGCCGAGAAACGCATGCCATCCTTTTCGYTGTCGAATTTTGCTTTCAAATACTATACGCCATTCTTGTTGCAAAGCTGGGTGAAGTTTTTAACAATCAGCACATTCGTCGGTACGCTAGTCTTCAGTTTATATGCCTCGACGCGTCTACAAGATGGACTCGATCTGATCGATCTAGTGCCAAAGGACACAAAYGAGTTTAAATTTCTTAATGCACAAGCATCGATGTTCGGCTTCTATAGCATGTATGCGGTGACGCAAGGAAATTTTGAATATCCCACCAATCAACGTTTGCTGCATGAGTACCATGAGGCTTTCGTGCGTGTACCACATGTTATTAAGAATGATAATGGCGGTTTGCCCGACTTTTGGCTTTCACTATTCCGCGATTGGTTAATCAACTTGCAACGCATATTTGACCGTGAGTTTAGTGAGGGACGTCTAACGCCCGAAGGTTGGTTGCCCAATGCTACAAGCGATGCTATATTGGCGTACAAATTACTCGTGCAAACCGGTTATGTTGATAATCCTGTAGACAAAAGTGGCGTCACACAAAATCGTTTAGTCGACATTGAGGGCATAATCAATCCAAAAGCGTTTTACAACTATCTGTCAGCTTGGGCCACTAATGATGTATTCGCCTACGGTGCGTCACAGGTACGTGCAAGCAAAAACGGTTATACATATAGCGGTAAAATAGCTATAATGTTACTGTTTTCCATATTTTAGGGTAAATTGCATCCAGAGCCACGTCACTTTTACCATACTGCCGGTGAATACGATCTTAAAATACCGAAGAGTCTGCCATTGGTGTATGCGCAGATGCCTTTCTATTTGCATGGACTGAACTGCACATCGGAAATTAAGACACTTATTGGACATATACGTGATTTGAGCGTGAAATTTGAGGCGCGCGGTCTACCAAATTATCCATCAGGTAAGCAGGCGGTGTAAATGTTGCATGAATACCTTTATGCTATAAGATATGTTGATAAAATTTGTTGTGGCAGCATTCATATAATATTTTTTCTTTTTATTTCTTCAATTTACAGGCATACCATTCATATTTTGGGAACAGTACATGACGCTACGCTGGTCACTTGCACTAATACTATGCATTTCRCTTGTCGCTGCTTTCATATTGATCTCAATATTGCTGCTTTCTGTTTGGGCTGCCGTTTTGGTCGTCTTCAGCGTCGTCGCATCGTTGATACAAATATTTGGCGCCATGACAATACTCGGCATAAAACTCTCAGCCATCCCTGCAGTGATACTGATATTAAGTGTCGGCATGATTGTCTGCCTTACAGTGCATATTTCACTGGTAAGTTTACAGCAACACTTTAAATTTTTATTGAACTGGTAGTTAACATTTCATTTCTTTAACAATACAATAGGGTTTCATCACTTCCGTGGGTAATCGCGAGCGTCGCATACATCTCTCCATGCAAATGTCACTCGGTCCACTTATACACGGCGTACTCACTTCCGCTGTAGCCGTATTTATGCTCTCTACCTCGCCCTTCGAATTCGTTATACGTCATTTCTTTTGGTTACTGCTTGTTGTGCTCTGCGTCGGCGCTTGCAATGGACTCGTACTCTTTCCTATTATCTTAAGCATGTGCGGTCCTGAGGCTGAACTGGTGCCACTCGAACATCCAGATCGCATTTCAACACCATCCCCTGTAATGTCGCGTTGCAAACGTGCCAACAAAACGGTGGTGGTGCATGGTGGTCGCTCGTCACGTACCTGCAGCAAGAATATGCATCATCACAAGGATATCAACATTAATGATCCCTCATTGACGACCATTACCGAAGAGCCACCCTCATGGAAATCCTCCTCATCATCCATACAAATGAATAACGAATGGAATGGCGCCAATATGAATATGAATAATGCGCATTATGCTACAAATGGCGCGCCACAACAAATGAATAATTACAACATGAATAATTACTATATGCATCGGCAGCAACCGAATTACATGCAGCAGCATCATCACTTTCAGACGACACCATCAGCACCACAGGCACAGCAGCAGTGCACGCAACAAAACATTTATGGTGCGCCCACATTTCTCAAACCAACACATCCAGCACAGCAACAACAACAGCAACATGCGCATCATCAAACGCAGCAGCAGCAGCAGCAGCAGCAGCCAACCCCACCACCAACAACGTCAACACAACACAGCACGCATACGCTTGGTGGGCCACACGAAACGAGTAACTTTCCCGAGTTGCAGAGTATCGTGGTGCAACCGGAAGTCACTGTGGAAACGCACCACTCGGACACGAACACAACAAAAGTAACCGCGACGGCGAACATCAAGGTGGAATTGGTGACGCCAGGTCGCGCCGTGCGTAGCTACAACTTCAGCAGCTAGCGCTCGCGTTTAGCTGAATGTGCGCAATAGGCGCTTTAGTGTAAYGGGTGCATGTATTTATTTCCTTAGTTAAGTAGTAGTTGTAAAATGAAAGCGCTGCTACATTTTGTCCTTACACACAAATAATATCGCTCGAAGTAGTGCATTTAAATAGCATTGGTGGTATAGTGCACAAAAATCACTAAAATTCATTTTCAAAATAAATGCAGGCAAGCAAGGAAATGTCAAATGTCGCACTTTGAAGTATTTGTGTGGTGCTGCCAGCCAACAGCTGAGTTATGTGTACATAAATGTTAAAASAAACATTGTGAATGCTTTGTTTGGCTTGTAGCAATGTTTGTTTTGCAGTGTAAATAATTCCAAAATGGGTTTTTTACTAAAATAAAACTGCATTCAAGTAAAATATTTGTGGATTTAAAAAAAAATTGTGGATTAGTGTAAAAAATATTTTTTTTTTTAATTTAAATTTAACAAAAATAATATTTTCTTTTGAATTTTTTTATTTTCTTTGTCAATAGTTTGTTTGGTTTGTTACAATAATAGTTCCCATTTCCATTTAGTTCCGTTTCGCTTTATTTTATTTTATGTTTTTTTAAACTGCACCATACTAAAATATTTTGAGATTGTGCATTGTTGTAGAAAAATATTTTTAATGAAAAAAATGTAGTTTTTGTTAATTTTATTCTTTGTTTTTTTATTTTTTTTTGTTTTGGATACCCAGCCAATATTTGGTTTGGCTTGTAACCAAAAATAATTTATATTTGGGTTTGTTAAAATTTCTTTAATAAAAAAACTTTTTTGTAGTGGAAAAAAATGTAAAATTTGCATTAGTGTCAAGGAAATATTTTTTATTACATTTTCTTTAATCAATTACATTTTTATGAATTTATAAAATTTGTATTAGTTTCAGAAATTTTTTTTTTTGTTAAATTTTGCATATTTTTGTAGTTTTATTTTTTTCCAATTTGGCATACTTTTTCGATTTTTTATATAATGTATTTTTAATTTTGCATATTGTTTTTAAAATTT